TACAGACTCAGATATATTCGCCTCTTCGCTCAATGTGGAAGAGGGTATGCACAATTTCTCCGCCCCCCCCCCCCCATTCTAAATCACATAAACTGGGTTGTATTATAAAACAAAAATAAATTTATTAACTATAACAGGTGTATTTTAAGTAGTTAAGGAGGTAGCAGACAGAACAAGGCAGATTACTAAGAAAATAAAACAGAGCATGCAACCTAAGCTTAATACACTAAAGGAACTGGTTACATGTGAGTTCTCACTCTAAATGTGGTTCTAATAATTTTCTTCACAGGCCAGATGCCCTTCCAGCCGGGGCCTGGGTCTTTCCCCCGTTCAGTCTTAGTTGTTTCCAGCAGTCAACTTGGGTGGGGTAGCAGGGGAGAATTGATGACCAGGATTACCTCACTCCCTGCCCTTAAATAGGATTTGCCTAAGGCGGGAGTCCTTTATTTCCTAGTTTGACCCCCCTTCCCTTACAGTGGAAAGTTACAAGAAGTCCCAGGTAATGTTTTAGTGTCAGGTGACATGACCACCTGACTCTCTAGGATTACAGTGTCCATGAGTTAGGGGCAGTATGAAGCGTACACAGGAAGGCCAAGCTTTTCACAGACTATTGTCCTTGCTGATGGGCCATCTTCCCCGTCTGGCTTTTCCATTGTTGTATCTGAAGTGTTAGCAGTGGGCGTCACCCAAATAGCATAGCTGAAATACAGATACATAATCAATATTCCTAACTTCAGATACAAAAATGATACAGGCATACAAATTGGATAATCGCATTCAGTAAATCATAACCTTTCCAATGATATCTCACATGAGCCATCTTTCATAAAGTATCTCAGTTATGTCATATTCATATCAGAAGCATATTTTCATAAAGAATATGGAATGACATGTCACACACAGTTTTAGTCTGCTCTTGATTTGAGCCCATAGATTGACAGAACCTAGGATAATTATTTGGGTTGTGAAGGCTTCATGCAAGTCATGACCCAAAGTATCCATTCGACTGACATCTTCACTAATGACTGCTTTCGTCATATTAATGAGCTTTGGTCCCTTATATGTGAATGGGTTGCCGGTGCGAGCAAGCTCATCCTGTAGTTTTAAAATTGCCCCTTCTTGGCATTTAACAGTATCTAATGAGTTTAGATTGTGCTTGGTTACTTCTGGGGATGTCATCCCAGCCATGCTCAATGTTCTTTTGGAAATTTGATGGGGTTGTCAGGAAAAATTGGGAAAGAGTATTTGGATGCTGTGATACTCCCCAATGACTTTCATTGCTCTGTTTTCATGTTCTAGGGCTTCATCTGAACCAAGTGCACAGAAGGGAACTGGTGACACCACTGAGCGTTGTATTTTATTAGGTCCTTCGTGGTGGTACTCCTCAAAGATTCAGTTACCACCATGCCACAGAGGGTTGACACCATTTCTTGATTCTGTAGACTTTTATGACTCAAATGACATCTCCCTTCCCTTTCTATCATTCACTTGCCCACGGAATTACACATGCTCCCAGACTAACAGGAAGATTGTGGTAGAGACAGGAGTACAACCTAAATCTGATTATCAGTGCCTTAGCTACAAGGCCATTCTTCCTCTCCTTCAGAGCTGGGATCACCTAAACTCTAGCCGGTAGGGAGACTGCATGGATGTACCCTACAAATAACTACCCTCCCTCCCTTCTCTACAAGGTGTAATGGAACCAAGCTGCCTTAGACAGGTGATTCTTAGGGGGAAGAAACAGTATGAGCTGCTTATCTGAATAGCTCCTGCTGGCCAGCTTAGTGTGACATTGGGCTTGATGTCCAAGGCTGGTGGCTTGCTCACCCCTGGCAACCATGAAAGGGATCCTGATCGGCTTCTGCTGACTCACAAGGGCATACAGAGTGATACCCAATGCTCAGAATATTGAAGTCAACACAACAAAATAAAGCCATTAAACTGGGACTGTTTGCTGGGCTCCAGCACATCTGTTCAAATGAAGTTGGCTTGCGGACTACAAACCTGCATTCTCCACTTGAACAAACTGGCAGTCACTATCTATTTTCATTGCAAGCTTTTTTTTTTTTAAGGTGTGGTAATTAAAGCTTTATCAAACTTGGTAGGTAAGTTGAGACAAAAAGGCAGGGATTGGAACTGAATCACGGGGGGTTGTTGATTTTCTTTTCTCTGCTGGCAGCATGGTTCTGGCATATACTTCCTTGGAGTTTCTGAACATCATTTCTGGTGTGGCATTTCACTAGCGCAGGGGTAGGCAGCCTATGCCACGTGTGCCAAAGGCGGCACGCAAGCTGATTTTCAGTGGCACTCACACTGCCTGGGTCCTGGCCACCGGTCTGGGGGGCTCTGCATTTTAATTTAATTTTAAATGAAGCTTCTTAAACATTTTAAAAACCTTATTTACTTTACATACAACAATAGTTTAGTTACATATTATAGATTTCTAAAAACATTAAAATGTATGACTGGCACGTGAAACCTTAAATTAGAGTGAATAAATGAAGACTCGGCACACCACTTCTGAAAGGTTGCCGACTCCTGCACTAGCGCTTGGTTGCTGCATCAGTTCTCACTTGTTTACCATGGGCTAGTACAGATTCATTACTTTTGCCTTCACACCTGACAGCAAGTTTCTCTCTGACCAGCTCTCATTCTTATAGATCAAGGGTCTCAAACTCAATTTACCTTAGGGCCAGTGCCAGTCCTCAAATCCTCTCAGTGGGCCAATAATGTCACTGAAGATGGTGTTCAGAAAAGAAAATGTTTATATTGTATTTTTTTATTTCGACTTTTTTAGAAATAATAAACTGTCATACAACTTTATACAATTCTTCACCTGCCAGAGAGTTTTTAGTGTTTGCCAGACACCTGAAAACGCTTCAGTTCTGTCAGTTTGTTGATGTTTGGCCTCAGTGACTGAGCAGCTGAAACCTTCAGGATTGCAGCAAGGTGTGCAGCAGATAGTTGTGTTCGGGATTTTGACTTGTTTATATTCATTGTGGAAAAAAGTGATGCTGACTCTGCCCGGCAACTAATGATGCTGCCTCCATGGCTGACTCTGCCTGCTGACTAGTGATGGTATCTCTGTCCCTCTCCCCCAGCCAATGGGAGCTGCGGGAGGCAGCACCTGCAGCAGACAGAGCCGGCAGCGTGGCTGCATGGATCTCTCCTCCGTGGGCTGCAGTGGGGAGGTTCTCAGGCCGCAGATGGCCTATGGGCCGGGATTTTGAGACCCCTGTTATAGATGCTTCCCCAAATGCTTTGTGATTTCACTAACTGCCACTCTGACCAGCTCCATGCTCTTCTAGAACTTTTTACAGCTCATAGGACATCCTTATTAATTCTCCTTACTAGCTCCTAGGCTCTTCTCAGTATGTTTTCATTAAATTTATAATTACAGGGTGTTCTTTCTGTTGGGTATGGGCTGTTGTATCGTTCTCTGGTTCATTACACACGGTTTATTGTGTGGGTATCAGACCTAATGATCAGTGATTTTAAGGACACGGTGGCACTCCAAGATGGAGTCTGAGAATTGTCATCTTTGTACACTCTTCTTTGTACACTCTTCTTCTGCTCCCCTCCCAGTGCAACAACAGCAGCAGGTGAGATGACAAGAATCTCAAAACCCAAACCACCGCTTTCAAATACCAGTCCCTTTTGTGCATCTGTATCTGTCTACGTCAGGTGTATGAGGGACTGTATCTCTGATTTCGCCCTGGGAGAAAATAGAACCCTTCACTTGGGCTGTAGCAGGTAAATAAAGGAGGAATTTATTTATAATGTTTCAACATGTAATAACTTGGCTCTGTGTGTAACTTCTGTGATGCATTTGGGACCATACATAGTTTTCACAAGTTTTGCTCCTTCCCTCTAACACTTAAGACTGCAGTGGAGCACATTTGCTTATAATCTGACCCCCACAAAAATGCCTGATGCTCTTTCTTGTTTTCTACCCACAGACAAGCATCCTAACCCATCTCTTACCCTTCCCAGCCCCTGCAGCCTGCCCAGCTGCAAGCATCCTGTCACCAAGTTCTTCCAGTCTCCAGGTGCCCTAAAGCTTGGTTACTTCCTTTGTTTCCCCTTCCCAGAGTTATCTTAAAATCCTACTCACTTCCATTTTGATCTGAAGCGTAAATAATCAAGTGTGTTCATGCTAGGTGCGAGAACTGGAATGATCCTGATCTCTGAAAAAAACACTTCATCACTCTCCTGTCTCCTGAGTAACTCACTTTAGGTGTGGGAGTGCCGAGAATATACATGGATTCAGTGGGCAGGGCCCTGAAGCAAAGACAATCTAGTCAGTCCTCATTCTCCAGGAGCAGTTTAGCTTCTGGATGTTGGGAGTTCAGAGTCTACTGCTGAGTGGATGCGATCTGCGAACGAAACGGAGGAATGTGGGAGAAATGTCAAGTTCTGGTTTTGTTTTGTTTTAAACGTTTGTTTTTATCCCAGGGTTGCGCCCCTGGACAAGATAGAAGCTCCCCTTCCACCACTTTAGGAGGCCAAGCACTGTAGATTTGTTAGGTGCCTGGGAATTGCATCTTAGATGGGTTAATATAAATGCCACACAACTACCCTGTTTCCCCGAAAATAAGACAGTGTCTTATATTAATTTTTGCTCCCAAAGATGCGCTAGGTCTTATTTTCAGGGGATGTCTTATTTTTCAGAAATGAAAAATGCCTTATTATCGGTGGATGCCTTATTATCGGGGAGGTCTTATTATCGGGGGGATGCCTTATATTACAACGAGAGGCAAAACTGTAAGTAGGCCTTATTTTCGGAGGATGTCTTATTTTCGGGGAAACAGGGTACCAGTAATAGTGCATTTATAACCAGGATTCACAACTGACTACCCACTCCCTTGACAGGGCCTCTGTGTTATGAAATATTCCGCTCTGGTTTTACAAGTGAGGGGAGACATTCGCTTTCTTTAATTCTGTTTATTACAATCAGGTGATATCTGCAGTTACACTTAAGCAGAAGGACACATGCTGTTAAATATAGTAACTAATGATTTCACCACTTCCTTTAAGTACAAGGAGAAACAATCAAGCAGATACTGGGTCATTTACTGCTGAAGAGAGGCTGAGGCATCGTGATGGAACAGGAACGCTGACAAGGAAGAGGGGAAGGACTAGGGGGGAATTTACACCAAAGTCAAACCTGCCAGGCCTCACTCAGCTGACAAAAGAAAGACTGAACTGGATTAATTTTAAGGCACTGTTTACATGTGATACCACTGCCCTCTAGTGGACAGATTAAGTGTTAAACTCTGCTGCTAAGGCCTGTACTTGGTTTGAGGTCTGCCTTCGTTTACCACCGTGAAGGGGTGAGTGGCCTTGTTTGGCCTGATGATGACTATCACCTCATACTTCTGGAAATCTCACCATCCTTGCACATGCCAATCTGGTAGGGTGACCAGATGTCCCGATTTTATAGGGACAGTCCCGATTTTTGGGTCTTTTTCTTATATAGGTTCCTATTACTCCCCATCCCCAGTCCTGATTTTTCATATTTGCTGTCTGGTCACCCTACAATCTGGTGACTTCCCTCATGGTTTCTCGGTAGTTAATTGCTCTCACACCTGGAGCCTTCCACTCAGTATTTCACAAGCAGGGCAGTTGGAGAAAGAAGCACCTCTCATGTCACTCCAAAAATGACCCCTTCAGGTTGCTGACCAGAGGATGAGATGCTCTGAAAGGGAATACTGCTCCATCACTCAAGGGATGGAAAGATGGAAGTTGATAGGGAAGTTGGTTCCTTTCTATTCTAGTAGCAGGTGAAGTGATAAGTCTTCCACCCAGAAGTAGCTACCTTAAAATGTATTACATGGGCTTTCAAGATTATTGCTAACTTACATACATATTGACAGAAGAATTAAACTGGGGCATCTCTAGGTGCAAAGTGCATTAAGATTTGTTGGTTGCCTTTGATATATATGTTTTTATTTTCCTATATATATATTTACGTTCCTATATTCATGTTGTTAGCTTTTCTTGTTTCTTCTTCACTTTCAACTGTGGCTGGAAATTCAAAGTCAGTGATTCAGTGCTGGGTCTTGGTGCTGGTGAGAGGTTTTAGGAGCCCAGAGATGGCACTTCCTCACCAGCCAGCTTCTTTGTAGGCATTGTTCAGGCGAGTGCAGATTTCGTTGGTCACCTTCTCAAAGGAAGCCTTGCAGTCTCCACCATATTTCTCCTCCATCAGTTGCAAGATAATGTCACAGATTATCTAAAGGAGAAGGGAGGGTGGGAGGGAAAGAAGTAGACCATGTGAACTCCCTCCATTCTATCTGTGAATAAGAATTGCTGTTTGTCAGTTGGGTTCCTCCTAATAAGAAAAAAGTTGTCTGATTCTTTTTGGTGAAGGGGAAAGGCACACAGAAACAGCTCTGCAATGTGTGTGGCATTCAGAACTGGAAATGAGTAATGAAAATGAGCTGTGGTGGAAAACCCACTCTACACCATTACCGTTGTTTGTGTAAATCTATCCCATATCTGATGGATTGATTTTGGCCACACTTATATACGTAGTCATAAGAGCATATGAATTGCCATATAAGATAAATCAGTGGTCCATCTAGTCCATTATCCTGTCTGTGACCAGTATTAGGCCATGTCTACACTACCTCTTTGGTCAGTATAATTTATGTCGCTCAGGGGTGTGAAAAAACAGACCTCTGAGAAACATACATTAGACCAAGAGACGCACCAGTGTGGACAACGTTATATCGAGAGAACTTCTCCCACTGATATAGCTATCGCTGCTTGTGGAGGTGGTTTTATTATGCTGACAGGAGAGCTCGCTCCCATCGGCATAGAGTGGCTAGATGAGTGATCTTGCAGTGGCGCAACTGCATTGGTACAGCTGTGCCACTGTAAGCTCTCTAGTGTAGACACGGTCCTAGATGTTTCAGCATATGGTGCATGAAACCATGTACTGAACCATTATGGATTAGCCTGCCCGTAAGGTAAGCTTTCTCCTAATCCTCCTCATTTACTAGGTGTCTCATACTCTGAAACAATGAGGGTCTTTATCTCTTCTTAAATATATATGTAATGTCATTACAATACTAACCTACTTCCTAGGCAAGTCTCAAGATTTAATTAATGCTACCAGAATGCTTTGAAGGTTAAAAGTTCTATGTACATTCTATATAGTACTATATTACAAGCCTGGGTAATGTGATGCAAGGGGATGTAGGGATGGGGGAATGGACACTACTGGCAGCACATTTGTCAGTTTTAATTATGGCCTTTCTGCAGCCCCAAATGCATAAGCATCATCGAAGCCGATTGACACCTGTTCTGTCTCACAGAAAAGATGTGCATTCCATTACATGTTGGTACGTTTGAGGGGAGAAGTCTGCTGACTCACCCTAAAGTTCTTGGGGTCAACCTTGAGCTGCATGGCATGTTTCTTGCCAAGTGGGTTCACAATCCCAAGGAAAGCATCAGTGCTGTCGAGGTGTTGGACCAAGTCATTGATGGTGGTGAGGACCCTCTTGCCATGACTCCTGACCTGATCTGACTGTTCCATCTCTTCGGCTGTACCCATCCCTTTAAAGTGGGTGAAGTAGGACTTGGTGTCTGGATGTTCTGTAAACATTCTGCAATGGGTTTGGAGAAGAAATGGGAGAGAAATACAAGACAGTTGAGAGACTTTTTTTTCCCTCATGAGCTGAGCACTGAGGCATTGACACTGGTGTAGCTTCATGTTCAAGACCTCGTCTCATGTACTTCCCTGAGTTCTCTCCCTAACTATAGTCATCACTTGCTCCCTTTTCTGTGTCAGCTCTGGCTTTCTCTGGCCTTCATTCCCTTCTTTCCTAGCAAGTCAAAAGGAGATCCCTGCTAACTCCAGACCACTATCCTGTAGTAGTCTGCCATTCCCTCTGCTCATCCACCTCCAGGATTTTTTCTTGTTAATTAAACTTTAAAACTTGCTCAGGCTGCTGCCAGCCAGAAACCCAGTGACCACAATGATGCTTGCTAACACCAAATGCTCACAGCCTACCTGTCGTCTTCTCTTCCTAGCTAGTTTCACTCATCATTTAACAAAAGTATGTAACAGAAAATGCCTCCAGAGTGTGAGGCCAGGAAGCACATTCACCACCTGTACCTGGATTAAAATCCTACCTTGTTCAGCTTGCCCACTTAAATGGATGATTTATAAAACAAATAAAAGCTGAAATCCATTGGAAATTGAGAATTCAGACCCACCAAGGATGTTGCGAGAGCCCCAGAAGATGTAAACAGAGAATCCAAGTGGTAGGCTCTTCCCCTTATTTAAATACATGAATAGATGGAGGGAACCCCTAGCATAGGCTTTGTTAGCCAACTCTTTATTCGGGGAAGGCCCAGACTGCAGTTTGCTGCCTGCCTTCAGATGGTTAAGTGTTAGGTACCACTGGCATCATTCACACAAAAGATGGTTTAGGCTGAAGTTACCTGTGAAGGACATGAGGCTTCTTTGTATAATCCCATCCAAAGTTTAGCGGCACCTTGGCAAATCATGTAAGAACACAATATTTCCCTCACTGGACCAAACTAATAATTTCTTTAGTCTGGCTATAGAAAGTGCCAACTAAGATTCCCTGGGCAGAAGGGCTTATGGTTTAAAGGGGTACAAGTTAATCCACTACAGAGCAATGAAATACAGAAATGGAGTGGAAGGTGGACATTGTAATTGAAATGCCGCACAGACGAACTGAGGTTCAGAGTGTAGCTATATACATGAGAAGTGACTCTAAAAATGGCCTTGTGTGGTTCTAGGTTTGCGACTGCGTGACTATCATATCATTTAATAGGTAAAGATGTTTTTTTATTTTCCCAAAACTTCCAGACCTGCAGGTGTAGCCCAGGATCTGATACTGAAGCCAGGACTCCTGGCTTGGGCATCATCGCCAGTAAAAACAAAAAAACATCTGCAATCAGATGTTAGTCACCAATTGTGCAGATAGTGCATGGAAAGGAATAGAATCCAGTTCATTCTCCATGAGCTGTGTTGGCTCAGTAGAGCGAACAGTAATAAAAACGGCTAAATCTTTTACAGTAAATACCACAGGGAACAGATCTGTTGAATGAGACAGCACCATTTTAAAAATTATCTCTTTTCTAACCTTAGTTGTACTTTACGGTATTCTAGGATGGAGAGGGAAAGAGCTTTATATACATTTACTGAGGCTGATGCAGGCATTCGGAGTGGTGTCAGAGGAGGAAGGAGTGATTGAAAGAGACACCAGAAATGGTAAGGAGTCACACTTGGGCAGATCCGTGGCAGAGTTATACGAGTGGGTAAAGGCAGAGATGTAAATGCCAGCTGAGTTATTGGGTGCTTTGAAGATGAAGAGAAGACGTTTGAATTTTTGGGAAGAAGACGGGAAGCCAGTGTTAAAATTCTACAGGAAAAGATCCAAGGAGAATGAGACTAGAAACAAAGCTATTAGTTATTTAAGAGGAGGTCAGTAGTGAGAGCAATTTCTGTGGAATGAAATAGGTGAAAGCTAGATTGGAAAGGGTCAAGGAGAATTGAAAGAGAAGTTTTGAGGACATAGAAGTAAACAACTCATTAAAGGAGTTTAGAGGGACATTGGATCTGGTTTCTGTTCCTGGTTCTATCATAGACTAGTATGTGGACTAAGGAAAGTCAGTTAACTTTCTGTTTTGTCTGTCCCATTGTTAGCTGCTTATGGGACAGAGTGAAGAGGAGTATCTGGCTAGCTGGCCTTCTCTTTTATACTGTTCGTTATTGTATATACCTCAGTTATCTCTCTTCTTTTCAAGTGAAATAGTTCTAGTTTCTTTCATCTTTTCCAACCCATTTCTTCACACTCCTCTTTTATTTCTCTGAACCTCTTTTGTCTCATCTGTTTCCCACTGAGGTGCGGTTTTATAGCTAATAACGTTTCAAGGCAAGGAATTGTGCGAAGTGCACCAGAACAAGTTCCTAGCATGTAGTTCTCGGTCTCCTTTCCTCCCCCGCTTGGCTAGCAATGGAATGGGATCTTTCTTTACCTGACCAGCACAGTTGTCCCATTGTCTTCAGCATTGGCATACATCTTCTCCCAGGCCCCACGAGCCCTCTGCACTTCTGCTTCAGAGAATGCCATGTTGAGATCAGAGTGCAGTGAGATGAGAGAGGAAGGGTAGGGAGTTGCAGGTGATTTGTGCTCCTGCTCTCTGTTTCAGAGCTCTCTATATACTGCCCTAGGGATTTAAGGGCTTTTGAATGGGTGCTTTGTTTCCACTTCAGTCAGTCACATTTCTGCAGGTTTTAGTGCTGTCTAATCACCTCTAATCAGGAAAGGAGGTTACCATGTGGAGAGGGAGGGATAGCATTCTCACTGTGAAGGCAGGGGACCACAGTACACAGAAGCGGTCTTGCTTTGAAGGGAGGGGAGGGAGAAGAGGGGTTGGGGTTCCAGTGGGCAAGGATGGGGTTTGGGCTGGCCTATCCAATGGCTTTTCAGCCATGGCAGTGTGTCCATTTTCTTCCATAAAGACACCCCCACACTGCTGTGGGTATCACAGTGGCAGGGTAAGTTTTATACCCTTGACCCCTCACTCAGTATCTTTGTGGCCACTTTTCCAAGTGACAGGCCCAGCACCTGGCTGTCTCTGAGTGGAATCCTGAGATTCACCCCATCTTTAGACTGGGTCTCCAGGCTACAGCACACCTGTTACCAACCATGTTTCCTCAGACAGTCCAGTTGGGTTTGGCCCCTGCTATAGACTTCCCTTCAGGAGCCATGAACACTAGGTGAAAACAGCGACACCCAACAGCTTCTTCAAAACAAAGTATTTATTTATCCATAGGAATGTAGCAATCAGTGAGAAAAAGGCCTGCAAGAAGGCCTACACCCACATAATGCTTAGCATTTCCCCCCACACTTAGGGAGCCATGAGAGGAGGGTCAGCATCTCCCCAGCAGTAATTCCTCCTTTGGACACTCTCAGCTTCAGGGCTCAAGCTTTTAACTCCTTCCTAGCTTTGTTTCCTTTTTCCCACTCGGATTCTCACCATCACCACCACCACTTGGGGTTACTAGCGAGCCTGCTGAGCAGAGCCTGGTGGGGGGAAAACCTGCAAAGGCACCGATACCTGTAATAAGTGTCGATGATTGGGCTATCTGCAGACCTGCAAAAACCACCCAGGACTGAGTTAACTTTGCACCCATACAGCAGACAGCATGGTAACAATCAAATAGACAGAGGTAGGCATACTATCAATGAATAATAGAGATCTCCCACGTTCTTCACAGAGTGTCAGTGAGCCTACGCTGATCCCTTTCTAGTGTATCCCTGACCTGCCAGCTCCACTCCACAGTGTCTGTCACTGTCAGAGCAGTGACCTCCCTATGTCATCGGGGATGTAGCCAAGATGCTTTTATAGTTCTTTGTGGTTTGATCATTCCATGCTGGCTACTTTGACAAGGAGGGGATTTTTCTCAACTCATCCATTGCTGAGAACTGGCATCTGAATCAAACTCTACTAATCTGGCCATCAGAGCCAGCTCCCCATCTTGGCCTTTCCCAGCCCCAGCCCTCCAATTTAAGGGATACAGAGTCTCTGTAGTCCTGGTGTGAACATTTTTTTTGCCTATGCTGCTTCACCTCTGTGACGGTACCTCCCATAAGGCTTTATGGAAATATGCATATGAATGTGTATCTATAACATAACTAGAACGTGTTTTATACTACATCTGCCATGTAACGTATCTCTGTAAAGGTTATGATCTATTAAATCTATTAATCCTATTTGTATGCATGTATCACTTTTGTATTCAAAGTTATGAATATTGGTTGCATACTTGTTTGATTCTAAGTAGGCTAAGTTGGTCAGCTTCCTGAGAAAAGACTATTCTCAGTAAGTGCCCAATCTGGAAACACTTAAGCCAACCATGAACTTGGAGACACCAATACACATCTGGGCTTTCCCAGGAATGTGGCTTGGCTGGTAAGGAACTCAGTCATGCATGGACATGTGACTTGCCCAGGTGACTCCTAAACTCCATCTTGGAGCTGGACTTTGCATAGGAATGAGGAGAGGGTCTCCATCCACAAGGGAAAGTCTATTTAAACCCCTGGGAGACCCCTCCATTTTGTCTTCAGCTGGCTAAAGAGAGAGTCTCTCTATCCCCCAGGATACTTGGAAGAAACTGGAACAAAGGGAAGTGACTGCAAGGGGTGAGAGTGATTGCTGGACCCAGGCTAAAAGGAGATTAGTCTGTAAAAGGGAGCATTCTGGAACTGGTGAGCATCTTATCTGTATTCAGTTTGATCAGACATAGATTTACATATTTTATTTTATTTTGCATGGTAACTTACTTTGTTCTGTTACTACTTGGAACCACTTAAATCCTACTTTCTGTATTTAATAAAATCACTTTTTACTTATTAATTAACTCAGAGTATGTATTAATACCTGGGGGAACAAACAACTGTGCATCTCTCTCTATCAGTGTTATAGAGGGCGAACAATTTATGAGTTTACCCTGTATAAGCTTTATACAGGGTAAAATGGATTTATTTGGGTTTAGACCCCATTGGGAGTTGGGCATCTGAGTGTTAAAGACAGGAACACTTCTGTTACCTGCTTTCAGGTAAACCTGCAGCTTTGGGGCAAGTAATTCAGACCCTGGGTCTTTGTTGGAGCAGACGGGAGTGTCTGGCTCAGCAAGACAGGGTGCTGGAGTCCTGAGCTGGCAGTGGGAAAGCAGGGGCAGAGGGTGTCTTGGCACATCAACTGGCAGCTCCCAAGAGGGTTTCTGTGATCCAACCTGTCACAACCTCCTTTGAATGGTTTTTATGGTGATGACCATCCATATCAGTGGGAGGGTTGTACACAGAGCTCTGGAGCCCTTTGCTGCTTCTGTTTGTTTAATCAGAGAGGGCTACTGCTATCCTAGGCACCACAGTTCACCACAGTCCTGACTTTCCAGCACTTCTGCTGTTCCAGTGCTCAGATCCCTCACTCAGCTCTAGTAATTCACCTTAGTCCTGCCTTGCAGGAACGCTGCTTTTCCAGGCCTGCCCCTCAATACACTTCCACCTCATCTTCGAACTCTCCTGCTATACCAGTTCTGGGTGGCTCCTGAACTGAGCAAATATAGAATTATGTTCTACCATGTTGTAGGACGGCAGTATTGGCAAAACATCTGCTGGAGCCTAGGCTGGGATTACCTGACCCTTTTCATTTATGACTTTAGTTCTATCTTCGAAGGCACATCCTTAGAAGTTCAGGCCACCACTGCCTGAGCTCACTGCACCCGCAATGGGCCATGTAATTCTAGCACAATAGGAAATCAACAGCACTGAAGAGCCAGAGCGTATGTGTTTCTTTCCTTTCCTTACCCTAATCCTGCTGGTTTACAGTTATGATCCTCCTCACATGGCTCCCTAAGAGGTTTGAAAGAAAAAAAAAAACTGATGAGCACAGTACAGTGCAACCTGCTCAGGGTAAGGGGAAGACAACCAAGGGAGAGACAGACAAGTGTCTGATAGAAACCTAACAAGAGGTGGTAGAAAGAGAACAGAGGCTAATTATTCTTATTAGTCACTTAGGGAAGAATAGGAAGCAAAGGGGCTTAAGCTGCTGCATGGGTAATTCAGGTTAAACTCTAGGAGAATTTTTTTAATGAAGAAAAGTTCAGGACACAAAAACCCTGCGGCAGGAGGTGGAGCAAACAGTGTTTCTGGAGCTATTCAAATGAGGGACAAAATCCCATGTATAAGGGACGATTTAGCGGGAGGAAAGGAACTGATCCTACCATGATAGCAAGCAAGGTGTTTCAGTGTGTCTGGTGTAATACAGTGACATGGATCTGGCGCATAAAAAGAAACAGTCGTTCCAAACACACAGCCAGCAGCCTTGGTGTCGACAGGTCTAGATACTGCAGTGATGGATGCATTAGTAATACCAACAGAGACAAAGTAAAGGTGCTTAACCAAGCAATGAACCAGGGCATCATCAGCACAGCTCTGGGGCTCCTTAGCTTCACATGTTGCACTTTCCAAGAGTCTTCCTCCATCTCAGCCCTGCTGCAAGGCATCTTCAGCACCTGCCTGGTAAATTCATGCCAGCTCAATTTCATTGGAGGGGGATGGAGCAAAGGTCACTTCAGCACTACTCCAGACTTGTCCGTCTATATCAGCGGATGTCAGCTACACTGTGAGGTGAAGACCACCTCTGTCCTGCAAATCTCTCTGGTGGTATGTGTGTATGGTGTGGAAGGGAGCATGTGTGGAAATTTGTGCACAAGGCAAAGGGAGTTGGTGTGTGTAGGAGTGGGGATCTGTGTGTGATGTCTGGGACGTGTGTGTAGACAGGAGTTGTGTTTCTGTACAGAGAGGAATGGGGTGTGCTTTGTGTCTGTATGGGGGTACAGATAGGTGGATCTAGAGGCTGTGTGTATAGTGGATATGGGGAGGGGGTCTACGTCTAAAGGATGGGAGGGGATACAGTTGTGTTGGGTAAGTAATGAGGGTGGGCTCCAGCACACTGTAGATTCTCAAATGACTCCATTGAAAGTGAAAGCCCCCTCCTGTTCCCAGCTCCAACAAAGAGCAGATTGAGGTAGAGCCTTAAGAATGGGGACTTCTGTTTTCTTGTACTAAATCCTCAGCAAAATGTCCTGGATTTCAGGAAAGCTCCTGACGGTTGTGGGGGAGCAGCTGTGTTGTTGGAATTTCTACACAAATAGGTCTTTGAAGGTAACTGCAAAATTGGGTCAGGGAAATTCTGACCGACACAGACCAGCAAGTAGTCACAGAAGCTCGAAGGGAGGAGTAATGTTAAGATGACATGAGGTGTTGGGGCCTCCCATGCCTTAGAGCTATAATGTCCTGTTAGGAGCTGGGAATGGGAGAACTACCAAGTGAAGGTGCAGTGAGGGTCTTTAGGACCACAATCCTTCCTGATTACAGAGAGGTTTTCTTTTTCAAGGTGCTCTGAGAGGGAGGACTCCTAAAGAAGAGAATGGGAACCTTCATTTTCCTTATGTTAAAGAATTAGACCTGCACAGGGCATGGAGCTAGAATTTACTTTCCATTGGAATGTTCTTTCATGTCGTGAGATGCCCTGTTCTCAGCTTTCTGTATTTTCTTCACACTAGAAGTATTAAGTTTTTCTCCTGCTTAGAACTTGGACC